CATCTCTACAAAAGTACACACAAGAGCTCAGTCAGCTAGGCGACTCCATGCTTGGCAACAGCGCGAACATAGTTCTCAACATCATCACAGAGTTCTCCAACGAGTATCGAACCGTTCTAGAGGGCAACAACCAGGAGCTCTCCAGCGTCGAACTCTCAGGAGGTGCTAGAATCAGTTTTGTGTATCACGAGCTGTACGCCAACGGAGTGAAGGCAATAGATCCTTTCGACCAAGTCAAGGATATCGATATTCGCACTATACTATACAACTCCTCCGGCTCTTCACCTGCACTGTTCGTTGGTACGACCGCATTCGAACTGATCGTCAAGCAGCAAATAAAAAGATTAGAAGAGCCGAGCTTGAAGTGTGTCTCATTAGTCTACGACGAGCTTGTCCGTATTCTGAGTCAACTGCTCAACAAGCCTCTATTTCGAAGGTATCCAGGGTTGAAGGAGAAATTTCACCAAGTCGTCGTCAACTTTTTCAAGAAGTCAATGGACCCCACGAATAAGCTCGTCAGGGATCTCGTGGCCATGGAGTCGTGCTACATTAACACTGGTCACCCGGACTTCATCAATGGTCACAGGGTAAGTGAACATAGCAATGAAATGCTGCACTGGCTTTTTCTAATATCAATGTTCAAAGGCAATGGCTATCGTGAACGAGCGTCACGCACAGGCTCGCCCGGTTCAAGTGGATCCCAAGACTGGCAAACCATTACCACCTCAAGTTCCACCACGAGCGGCAAGTCCATCGCTAGGCATGTCAGATGATCAAAACGGCGGATTCTTCGGTAGTTTCTTCGCTTCGAAGAATAAGAAGAAGATGGCTGCTATGGAACCGCCGCCACCGACGTTGAAGGCTTCGGGTACTCTGTCAGAGAAAGAAACGCAAGAAGTTGAAGTTATCAGTCAGTATATCCGCTATAACGATAAGTGAACAGTGCGCTGATGCTAGACAGAAATACTCATCAACTCCTATTACAATATCGTCCGCCGAACTATGATTGATATGGTGCCAAAAGCCATCATGTTGACCCTGGTACAGTAAGTGCAACTGCTCTGTTCTCTTTCATTTTCTGCCGCCCTATCTAATGCGCAGCAGGTTCTCCAAAGAGGAGATGCAGCGCGAGCTGCTGGAGCAGATGTATCGCGCCATCGACTTCGACGAATTGCTCAAAGAGAGTGACTACACCATCCGAAGACGGAAGGAGTGCCAGCAGATGGTCGAATCACTATCCAGAGCAAGCGAGATTGTCAGTCAGGTGCAGTGAGCAGTGTTCTCCTTTCCTTTAGTTGACCATCATGTGGTGATGCAGCTCGATGACCCTTCACTCATGTCAGAAGAGAGGCTTCGGAGGTCATAGAGTTGGACTTTGCCGGCGTTTTCGTTTTCGTGGTCTTGAAGGAAGAGGCTGGGTGATGTTTTCGAGCGCTTTTTGCACCTTCTGGCATGGTGGCAGTTGACAGATTGGTATGAGGCACGACTACTTAGCGAGAGCCTGTGCCTGTTGTTGTTCCCATATATAGAGTGTTCGCACCGATATCCAGCTCTACAGGGGGTGTATCAAGAACGCCTTAACCGCTCACTGGGTGATATGAATCGAAAGTGCCATGCGAAACACACAGTACAGTACTTTTGACCGTTGCATAAGCTTCTTGCCGAAATCTCCGATCCTGTATCACATGAGTACTCGCACCCTTTGAAACGGGTTGATGTAGGATATGAACGTCTTTGCGTATTGCAAACTGCTCTATGGCCGTGCGAGGTGTGAACGTCTCCGCTTGTTACGGGTGCCTCTGCTAGCATGCCTGACCTTAGCACACATACTCTACAAAGACCTTCGATGCTGTTTGCATTGCTTGACAAGGCTGTTAGTAATGAACAGCAAAAGAGGATTCGCTCCCTTCTCAAGCTATCGGTGTTCACGCCTTCGTGGCCATGATGAAGAGAATAGAGGGATAGTAACGTGCAACTAGATCGATTACTTCAAGCAGTAATCAATCATCCTCATTATGTATACACATACAACATCCAGGTCATCAACACCCAGGCCTGATGGTCTAGTCGTATGATTCTCGCTTTGGGTCAAAGAACACAACATGCGAGAGGTCCGGGGTTCAATTCCCCGTCAGGCCCTTTTTGATCTTTTTTGCTCGACATCCTTGCTGCCTATGCCACCACCTTGAATACTGTATTTCTTGAGTGTCGTATCAAGCTCTTTTAAGATTGCGTTCAACTAGAGAGACGGTTGGTTATACGGTGGTGTTGAAAAAACACATCGCCGAGCGAATGTGTGAATATGACAGATTTGAAGTGCGTAGGTCTTTCACACGTTCGCATCGACTAAAGACTAATGATTATAGCAGTCGATGTACTCTAAAGCTACATTCACTACGGGCCATTGCCCGAGATGTATAAGCTATATGTATCAGTCGTGCTCCAATGTTATGAGCGATAGCTAGTGGTAGAAGGAGCAGTGACGGGCGGGTAGGACATCGTCATGTAGGGATAGGATTTTCGTATTTATCTATCATGACTGCGGGATGGCGCAGCGTTGAACAAGTCCAGTCCAGCCAGGACCCTTGGGCGCCACTCTCAAAGTAGATACGTACCCTCCATACACTTTTGGAGGCTGGGAGAAAGGAATCGCTCAATCGTGATCAAGTACCAGATGCCTTAAGACAAGATGTGAATGAAGAGAGAAAGGAGCAACCTGTGTGCCAGATGCCAGGCCCCTATACCGTTCGCTTGCTACATTCCATGCTGAGAAGGACCATGAATGTCGCCTAATATTACTGGCGTAGAAAGCTCGAGACAGTAGACCTTCGACCGTCAGCCTACCCTAGGTATCGCATTGCCAGAGTTGCTGCGGGAAGGGCCAGGTGGCGACACAACTCCACCGGAGGAGCCAGGACGACTGTTGCTGCGAGTCCGGGTATGCTCTTTCGGTCGTCCATTGGAAGACTGGTGTGTTCGGGAATCATCCAACGATTGTTGATGATGGCGCCGCTAATATCCACAAGAAGAGAACGAGTCAGAATCCAATGCGCGCAGAGACGGTCTAAGACGAATGGCTGTTTCTATGGACACAACGGACCACACAGCATAGTGGCCGAGGTGCATCCAGATTCAATGGTAGGGGAACAGTCGGCGGCTCACACGGATCAACATACCGAGCTTTGTCTTTCGTAATCCTTGGGTCTCCGCTCCCTGGCGGACGT